TATTAAACTGATCAGAAGATTCAGAACAAATTCAACAGATACTACACTTGATCTTAGCAGATACTACACTCGATCTTAGCCAAAAGGCCGAGAAAGGTCGATGTGACCCTGAGGCAAAAGTTGTTCAGTTTATTTTTCGGCATAACGTAGTTTTTTCTCGGATTTTTAAACTTTTTTTTTTTTTTTTTTTTTTTTGCCTGGGACCTTGCCTGGTCCTTGCACGGCCAGGCAGCCTGGGAAAATAGGCGACCCGGGCGGCCCGGGTGGTAGCCTAGCTTTTTTTCTTAAAACTAAGTTTTTTCCCCTTTTTTTCCCTTAAAACTAAGTTATATTCTTCTCTCAATTTCTTTTTCCCTTTTTTTCTTAAAACCAAGGCTATACAGTGGACCCATTCAGAGATAGCTACCTCTCACAATCAAGGGGATGCATGACGGGCCCCACCTTAATCAGCAGTGGTCAGGGAGTAGGGTGGGGCCGCCGGTGTGTGTGGGGGGGTGCGCCTAATGCAAAGACCGAGCATTTGTGCCAGTAGCTGCGCCTCCGCTCTACTTACTTCCCCCACCCGCATAGAGTAACAGCAGTGTGTAAGGCCAACACTCTCCCACACAGCTCACACACACAAACACGCACTCACACCTGTGATGTCCAAAGAGGCTACCAATACCGACCAGGGAGAGCAAGCCAACTATCTCAGGTGGTTGGCACCGAGCATGCGTCAGGCGGTCAGACCGACACCGGATGTATCTGACTGCAATTACGGCCGTATGAGGATGATTCTGACCGCAATCACGTCCAGAGCTAAGTAGAAAATGTCCCAGTGTGTATGTCCTGAGAGTAGCAAGATTTCTATTGAACCACCAGCCACCGGTACTTTTGAGCCTCTGTTCTCTGAGGCGGATTCGCGTTGTGTGGCAAAAAAAAAAAAAAAAAAAAAAGCAGCACAGCGATTTTCTTTTTCTTCCGTTCTGGCTGGCACCACCAGCCCAACAGATCCTTCCTCCAGGCCTGAGTGGCCTTTGTTTTTTTTCTTGTCTTAAAATCTGGAATTTGTGGATAATCTGTTCCGTATGGGTAGAAGAGCGGTGATGTGGGCCATATGGATGAGAAGATGCACGTATGAATGGGAAGGGGCAAGACTAGATGGTCCGGATTTTACAGAAACTATTAAACAACAAGTCCAAACAGATATATTAACCAATTGGGAAAGAACCAAGGAAAAGGTGCAATTTCTCTCGAATAAAGCAGAAATCCAGAGTCATTTTCGGAAATTCAGTCACAAATGGTTGAATGGAAACCAGAGACGGAGAATTGGATGTGTCACTTGGAATGGTGCTGACAATGAAGATGCTGCTGGGTTTAAAAGAGATTACAAATTGGTTTTTGATGATTGGACTTCCATTGACGCTTCAATTCCCATGAGACCTTTCTCAGATTTCCCAACTCCTTTCCCTCCTCCTGCAACAGCCATGGTTCCAAGTTCCTGGTATGGATTATAAGGATATCACTGCTAGTTTTACAAGAATATATCT